CTGTTCACAAATGCTCTCCATCCAACCTCACTGAGCTTGAGCTGTTTTGCAAGGAGGAATGGGCAAAATTTAAGTCTCTTGATGTGCAAAACTGATAGAGACATACCCCAAGCGACTTACAGCTGTAATCGGAGCAAAAGGTGGCGCTACAAAGTATTAACTTAAGGGGGCTGAATAATTTTGCACGGCCAATTTTTCAGTTTTTTATTTGTTAAAAAAGTTTGAAATATCCAATAAATTTCGTTCCACTTCATGATTGTGTCCCACTTGTTGTTGATTCTTCACAAAAAATTACAGTTTTATATCTTTATGTTTGAAGCCTGAAATGTGGCAAAAGGTCGCAAAGTTCAAGGGGGCCGAATACTTTCGCAAGGCACTGTATGTGATTTTCACAGTATAATAACTCTCAAAAAATATACAAGTATTGCATTATATGGCATTACACAATTACTATTATCAGTTACAATGACCCTCAAAAGATTGGGGGGGGGGGCTTTTTTTTTTATTGCAGGTGACTGTGCCGGTTTACTGAGCTGGATCGCAGCAACAGATCCTAAAGAATAAACAGAAACAGGATTTTAAAAAAGCATGTAACTAACACGTTATATAATTTGCATGTTGGCACCAGTAGTAGAGGAAATATTCACATCCTTAAGTAAAAGTACTAATATCACATTGTAAAAGAAGCCTACTCTGTTACAAGTAGAAATCTGCATTGAACATGTTAAATATAAGTATTAACACAAAAATGTACTTAAAGTATTAAAGGTATTAGTAGGCTATTCAATAATCTAGCCACAGGGGTTGCAAGCCAGTGAATTCTGTGCCGGTCCCAAGCCCGGATAAATAGAGAGGGTTGCGTCAGGAAGGGCATCCGGTGTAAAAACATGCCAAATTTAAACATGCGAATCATCAGTGTGAATTCCATACCGGATCAGTTGAGGTCCGGGTTAACAACGACCGCCATCAGTGCTGTTGACCTACAGGGTGCTGGCGGAAATTGGACTACTGTTGGTCGAAGAAGGAGAGGAGGTAGAAGGATTCGTAGACAGAGAGAGAAGAGGAAAGGCAGGAGTATAGGTCTGAGAATAGGGACTCTTAACGTTGGCACAATGATAGGGAAAGGTAGAGAGCTGGCAGACATGATGAAGAGAAGGAAGGTAGATATACTGTGTGTGCAGGAGACCAGGTGGAAGGGTAGCAAAGCGTGTAGCATTGTAGGGAGATACAAACTGTTTTATTATAGTGTGGGCAGGAAGGGAAATGGGGTAGGAGTGATCCTGAAGGAGGAGCTCATGAGGAATGTTTTAGAGGTGAAAAGAGTGTCAGACAGGGTGATCAGTTTGAAGTTGGAAATTGAAGGGGTAATCTTGAATGTAGTCAGTTATGCTCCACAAGTAGGGTGTGAGTTAGAAGAGAAGGAGAGATTCTGCAGTGAGTTAGATGAGGTGATGGAGAGTATTCCCAGAGGGGAGAGAGTGGTGATTGGGGCAGACTTCAATG